CCACTCTAAGTTCATCTTTACTGAATTTTAAATTAAAAAAAAAATACTATTTGTATCCCCATTATGTTCTAATCTTGCTTTAATTAAATTCATTCATTTTAATACTAGATATCCAAATGAATTTTATACATTCATCAAACTTTATATACATCTCTAACGCTATGGATCCACACATCCCCCAAAATCTTAAACTCTTTTAAACCAAATGAACACAATAAGAACAAAGTTGAACTGATTGAACATTAAATTAACATATATTATTTGCTTAACCATGTTAGATTAGAAGTTTTATCGTTCTTATTCATACAACTCAATCCATCAAAGCAAACCACCATAAATTAACATCCAAATTAGGTAGAGGACTGTCTCTAGAGAAAGTACACCGATTAACATTAGGAACTCATCGTGTTTCGACTATGATTTGGTATGCTTCAATCATATCTTCATGGTATGCTTAAATCCAAAATTGCAAGTAGAAAAACATCATATATATTTAGATAAAAAAAAAATGCTTAACATGCCAGAATTTCTTATTTTTTAATTAGGCAAAAAGCCTTAATGTTAATAACAAGTAGAAAACATCACATATTCAATATAATTTGCAAATAATTCATCAATGCAAATCAAAATTAGGCCCCAAATCCATGTGTCATAATGTGATCAGGTAATTAAATAGTAGCGAACAAATCATTTAACTATTCAAACAATAATAGTAGTGTTATTATTAATGGTTCCTATGGTTTATCCAAATTAATAATTTCTGATATGGTTAAATCTTCTTCTACCATGAACCTAAAAAATTGTGTCCGAGCATGATAAGGTGTAGCCCAACCCTCTGCACATGGATGATGTACTTGTACCAATTATAAGCAATAGGTGGCATTGGTCCATTAGTATGCCAATTTACCTGCACACAATTACATAGAAAAACATAAATAGAAATATCATTTAGTTAATTAAAAATTTAATACATATTTACTGAGGCAAAATGACCGTCATTAACAAATCCAATTTCTACAATCTTATTAGATACAATTGCAAGTGGTTCATCCCAACGTGGAAGAAATGTAAAACATTGTTGTTGGCTCCAGTGAATAAGAATAACCTTACATCTTGAAGCAATAACATGACCCATAAAGGTATGTTCATCCAATAATCATGACTTGCAGGACCATTAAAATGAGAAAGTGAATGAATCTACTCATGGAACATATCATCATTTCCGAGAGTCTAGAGTAATCATCAAAAGGAGATTCAAGCTCTTTTATTAGGTCTTTTCTGACTAAAGACCAATTATCTTCACCTATTCCTACAATATTAGCCATGGCCCGAAAATCGCAATTGTCATCTGAAGCCACATCCTTCACACCAATTATGTAAGGTCTCAAATGAATAGGAAATGAATCAACATAAGCCATGGACTTTGATCTAGTGATACACCTTTTGTTTTTCAAATTGGTGGCTGGCTTGATAGTGTAGGTTGACTTAAAAGGCGTAATGGAACTATCCAACTGTTGTAATATTTGTCTAGTCCAGATAGTACTAACTCAAAATACGATGGGTCTCGATGAGAAGATACATCTATCTTTGAATATGGACTAACCTTTGTCTTAGTTTAGATTTGTAGCTCAACTAATGATGTAGAACTCGGACTAACAATTTCTTTCAATTTTTATAGGATTTCCACCTTCACGCGATCATTATTTTCTCGGTAATGCTTCTCAATCATCTTAAATAATGATGCACAAATAATCTCGAATATGTTAACTTTATCAAGAGGAACTAGATCAAGTTTCTTCCAGTGAGTGTATACTTTTGACAAAGGAATGGGCCCAGATTCTAACTTGTACTCTGAAATATCATGGGCACATGGTAAATTATGTGTCTGCCGTATAATACATCCACAAGCTACCTTGTCAATCCCTATGTCATCAGCTCATTTGGACTCTTGAAATATCAAATTCATTGTAATTCTTGATGTAAATCCCCTAAGCTCTTTAAGGAAGGTAGGTTTGAAATTGTGTTGGACAGTACCCAAACTCTTTTCAAATGAAGCTTTAATATCTGTATGTTGTAGCTCCAATAATGCATGAATTCTCGTCCATGATGTATCAAAATTACCTTGGGAAGAACCTAAATGCTCCTTAAGTTTTGCATATGCAGATTCAACCCTACCATGAAAAAAATCAAATTCA